CCCCCCCGGAGAAATTGGTAAATACCTTAATCCACTCCCGGAGACGGGGGATTATGCCACAATTTCCGAGCTGAATTTCACTGAACACTTTTGCCCAGCTACAAGTGTGGGGGTAAAATGGCGGTTGAGATCCTGCGCTTCTCCATCGCCCGGGGAACTTTCTGCGTGGCTGCGCCTCCGTGCCCGGGCTGCGGCAGCCAGGACCTGTAAAATGTCCTCTCCCTGCCGGGTAGGGATTTCCACGTAAGAAAACCTGCTTTCGCGAAAGGAGTACTTGCAAAAGGCTCGGGTGGCTCCTCTTTATTGAGGCGTTCAGAGAATGCAAAGCGGGCAGCTGAGAAAATGCTGCCCTCTTCCCACTTGAAACCTGACTGTACGGAGGGACTTTGCAGTGGCTCTTTCAGGGGGTTAAGCGAAGTTGAACATTTTTCAACTCTCGGGGAAGCGGAATGCGCCGCAGCCCGCTTTTACCTGAATGTAACTCACTTTGCACAAGCAGAGTGCTGATGAGGATGGCTTTCCCTGGGGTCTCCTAACTTACTGCTTGCTTGTACTACACTAATATCCTTGATTTGTTGTCTCAACTTGGATGCTGAAGGTCAAATTGTTTCCTTAGGTGAAACTGTAATGAGATTATATGCGTGCGTGTGTCTATGCATATGCACCGCTGTATGTCGACAGCATTTGGTTACAGGGCCCGCATCGTTTTCTAAGAGACCTTTTTTTTTAACCTCTTCCCCGCTTTCCTCTAACGCCAGGTATTCACCCATCCTCTGTGCAAACGTTAGCGGTGCAGGGTAGGAGAGCTCCTGGTTGATTATTACAGTGCAGAAAGGATATACTTGAAACGCGGAGCCATGAGCTTTCTCCCACCCACCTTGCATAAAGTGCATTCATGTGAAATATTTGGAATGCCTTCCTTTATGTGCCTCTGCTCGCAGCCGAGCACGAGGTGGGCTGCGTCCCTCCGAAATTTAATCGTGACGAACTGAGAGGGAAAAAAAAACCCCAAAACACAACAAATTCGAAAAAAAAACAACCCCAAAACAGAATCTGGAAGCTTTTGCAAATCTTGGAAGTCCTTTCGACCACATACGCCATGATGGTGAACACACTGGCTTTGTTTGCACTTCACGTTTAAGGTTCGGCCGTATATTTTTGTGGTGTCCTCTGTGCCCGGGTACTTCTTTGGCTTTTGACGGATGAGGAGGTTATTTTCATACTCGGTGGGTGCAGGACCTGGGTACTCCTTGGCGAGCAGGGTTTTGCAGTTTGCTATTATCAGTGACAATAATGTAGTCATCATCTCATCCCGAAGCTGTCTGTGGCGTGTTTCCTTGAAAGCTTCCTATATATCGTGTACCATGCCCGGTCCACACGATCCGAGGTTAAACTTTCACACGACTCCAGCAATACGATTATATTTCTATTGTGGTTAACGTCACTTATCATATTACCAGACAAATTAATCCCAATTGCGATTCCTTCCATGACTGAGTAGGTTCAAATGAAAAGGGGATCCTAGCCTCACGACAGTGCCGTGCACCG